TCATCTACAGGGACTCCAGTGAATAAGTGGATTTTATAAAAATCCTGGATATTTTTCTCTGGCAACACTAAAGATGCGTAGAAGCTAACATTTATGTAGTGCTTGCTATGTGCCAGGCTCTGCACTACATATTTCCCAGTTAACTCATGTAATCATTACCACATTGCTCTGAGGTAGATACTAATGATAATTCCCACATTCCAGGTGAAGAAACTGAAGCACCAGGGCAAATCTGGGCAGCATGGTTTGCTTCCTTACAAGTATTATGTTCACTTTTCTCTTCTGGCCACATGCTATCGATTTTCTGTTGGTTCTGGATATAAAGTAATTATAGCCAACATTTCATAAGCACTACGTATAAATTAAATCATTTAATTCCCATAGCAAATGTGTGAATTTTAACATCTCCATTTTGCAAACTGAGGTTAAGTAACATTCTTAGGTCACATAGCTTAATAATTAGCCGAGGATGTGAATCACTATTAGAAAGCCATTGAAGCAGGGTGCCTGGGTCACTCAGTCAATTAAGCATTCGACTCTTGATTTTGGCTCAGGTCACAGTTTTGCAGTTCATAGCATTAAACCCTGCATCTGGCATCACAGAGCCTGCTTAGGGTTCGCGCTCTCTCCTTTTTCTGCTCCTTCTCTGCTCATGTACACACTCTCTCAAAATAAATAAGTAAACATTTAGGAAAAAAAAAAAAAGCGACTGAGGCAGAGTTCCTGTTCTCAAACATTGTGCTCTATGCTAACTTTGGGCAGATTGCTACCTTCTCCCCACCCATTTTTTTCTCTCTTTCTTCCATACTGTGGAGTTTTTGGTGAATACAAGGCTACTCTTCTTAGACTTCCTTTTCCAGATGTCCTTGAAACTAGATCTGGCCATTGAAACTGAGCTCTAACTGAGGACATGTGAGCAGAGGGAATGATTTTTAACTTCTTTCAAAAACTTCTTACCCTGGACTTCCCTTGTTCCTGTGAGGGAAAGCAGAGGTGCCAAGCTGGCACACATTTGCCAGACTGTGCTACCACATTCCTGCTGATCAAGGATAAGTCATGGTCCTTAAACAACTATTCCTGCTCACCCCGTCTGAAATTTCTGATGACAGAAATGTTCCTCGCTTTCTGACAAAGATTTTTGTTATTGTTGTAACAGCGCCTTAACTTCTACCATAATATCAAATGGTTCAATAGCCGTGTACCAGAACCATATATAATTTTCCAAGTGGCCACTTATTAATCCAGGACCTAAGCATCCTGAGGACAACTATTGCCTGAGTTATTCTAGGTTCAAATGTTTGTGAACAGAAATAATGCTATCTTTCTACTGTGTTTTCCCAATGATCTGTGTAACTTTCATCATGCACTGATTAAAATAATGTGGCGGAATACTACTTAATGACACAGAAGGAAGATATTCATGGTATTTTTTTAATGTTTATTTTTTAAATTAAAAAAATTTTTTAATGTTTACTCATTTTTGAAAGACAGAGAGAGACAGAGCGCAAGCAGGGGTGGGGCAGAGAGAAAGGGAGACACAGAATCTGAAGCAGGCTCCAGTCTCTGAGCTGTCAGCACAGAGCCCAACACAGGGCTGGAACTCACAGAACTGCAAGATCATGACCCGAGTGGAAGTTGGCCACTTAACTGACTGAGCCACCCAGTTGCCCCAATGTTTATTTATTTTTGAGAGAGAGAGAGAGAGAGAGAGAGAATGTAGTGGGGGGGGTACAGAGAGAGAGAGGGACAGAGGATCCAAAGTGGAGTCTGCACTGACAGCAGAGAAGCAGATGTGGGGCTCAAGCTCACAAACAACAAGATCGTGACCTGAGCTGAAGTCAGACACTTAAACAACTGAGCCACCCAGGTGCCCCCATGATATTTTTTAAGTAAAAAAAAGTGTCTTACAAAATAGCAAATAAAGTGTGATCCCTGTTTTGTTACAGTATGTCTCATTATGCTGAGTAATTATAGATTTTTATTTCCTTTTTTTTACTTCTTTGTATTTATAATATTTTTTCTTTAATGACTGTATTATTTTTATTAAAACTTTTAAAAGATGAAATAAAGGTGGAATACACACACACACACACACACACACACACACACCATATAGGGTTCTCTAACAAATAAAACTCCAAAATGTAGTGACATAGAGAATTTAAAGTTCATTCATTGCTCGTGTAACAGCTCAGAATGTAGACTTCAGCTTGATTGGTGGGAGCTCTGCTCCTTGCAGTCATTCAGGGGCTCATGGTGACAGAGGCTCTGCCATACTGAACAAGTGACTTCCAAATCACCATAGTCCTCTCCATCCCAAAATAGAAATGAAGAAAGAATGGAGGAATGTGCAAGGCAGGATTTTTAGGGCCAGACCTGAAAATGGCATACATTCTACTAACATTCCATTGTTAAGAACTCAGTCTTGCCACACCCACCTGTACACCATCATCATTAATTAACCTATGAGGTAATATCATTGCTCCCAGCTATTCATTCAGGTTTAACAAATGATGGAGTGTGAATTTTTATTGCACATTCTTAGACTATTTTTTGGTTCAAACAGTCCTGCTAAAAGATAATTCATCAATTTTCCTGTCAAAAATTTTTTTCTGTAAAGATCAGGAATGAGAATCTTCCTCTCCCCAAAGATTCAGGACTTAGCTTGTTATTATTATTTTTTTTTTTAGTTCTGTAACAGTCATATTGATTCACTTTGTTATGTCCTAACTAAGTTTCATTTCTAAGCAAGTGGCACCTATTATTTATAGGTCAGGAAAATAGTTGACATTCAGTCTTGTCTCTGGGGTGAAGCTAATGAATGGTAAGATTGGTTCATGGTGAATAAATTAGTTCAAAACCATGGAATTCATACGTTTGATATTTTCTTTCTATAAATCCCAGATTGCTATCTGTGACTCCCTGCTGTTTGCCTTTTGATTTTATAGATCATATGAAATACGCTCTTTGCAACTTCATCCCCCCGCCTTCCTTTTTAACCTCTCCTCAAATAAAGGGGTAATTTGTACAGTCCAAAGAATTATGTGACTTATTTCCCTTGGTGATGGTAACAAATTTCTTCTGACCAAGGATAAACTGCAAGCCTTAAATGATTTCTCCTTCTCACCTCTCTAAAAAATTTGATGACAGAAATGTTTCCTGCATTCTGACCAAATTATTCTGATGATAACACAGAAGGAGTGGGTTTGGAGACTTGAAATTCTGAGTCAGGAGAGGAGGCTTGAGGGATTACTAGCCTTGAAGCTTTAAGAGTTAAGGTTAGGAGGGTGGCTCTGTCAGTTAAACTTCCAGCTTCAGCTTGGGTCATCATCTCATGGTTCTGGAGTTTGAGCCCCTCATTGGGCTCGCTGTTGTCAGCATAAAGCCCCCTTTGGATCCTTTGTCCCCCTCTCTCTCCTTCTCCCCCCACCTTTCTTTGTCCCTCCACCCACCTCTCTTTGCCCTTCCCCCACCTTTCTCCATATCTTTCCCCCCTCCACCTAACCCCTTCCCTGCTTGTGCTCTCTAAAAAAAAAAAAAAAAAAAAAAAAAAAAGAAACATTAAAAAAGAGTAAGGTTTAGGAAAAATTAAAGATTATAAACAATGTTTTGAAAGCTAATTAGCATCTCAAGGGACAGGTAAGAAAGGAACTACACCCTTGACCTGGAAATGTGCGGCTTAAACAAATGAAAGTCAGTAAGAGTGGAAAATGCAGCGCTCTAGGACCTGTCAAATCATGTACCCCTGAACATATCCCCCCCATTGCTTACGCATTCTCTTTCTCCTTGTCTATTCCCTGACTTACTTGCCTTTCCCCCTTTCACACCTATTCCTTCCTGGTACTCTTCTGAACTATGTACACATCTTTATCACACCTTAAAATGGCCATAAAATGGAATAATCAAAAATACATACATTTACTCACAGATATTTTAAGCACTAAATATCACTGCCTGTATTAGGTCCTGGATGTCCAAAGATGACTAAAGTGTACTTCCCAACCTCAAATAGCTCACAGTCTATTAGGTCAAATACTTCTGCTCTTTGGGAGTTTGAAGGCTAGAAAGGCTGATTTTGCCAGGGAGAATCAAGGAAAAGGACACTTAGTCTTGAGTCTTAAAAGATAATTAAAATTTTGCTAGGTAGAGAAAGAGAACCTTTCAGGCAGAGGGAACAGCATGTAAACTTTTCTTCTTAAACAAGATTTCCCAGTATGAAATGAACATCATCAAGAATCACCAAAGAAAGCATTTCCTTTCTTATCTATGATGAGATATATTAACCTGACTAATGATGTCAACGTAAGCTTGCCTATTCAGATTCCACTCTGCTTGGATTCCAGTCATCTGAAAACATAGCTGAGCACCAAGAACCAGTGAACAAAGGTCTCTTGGGTAGCCAAAAATTTCATTGCAAAGTTTCTGTTTATTGAAGAATCACTCAGCTCTTTCTGGGTATTATGGATGTCATTCTAACAAAGCAATTCAGAGGCAGTCATATGGGATGGGAGCAGGAAAGGGCTCTGAAGTTAGGGGCTATATTAGGCAGACTTACTAGGACTAGTAAGGGCTGGAATGCTGGAAGTATGAAAGGAGTCAGAAAAACCAGCAGTGGGTTCAGCTGCTCTAATCATAGCTGTCCAGGAATACTGAGTGAAAATGCAAAGAAGTTGGCATGCCTTGGGCAGTCTGCGCAGTTAACTAACTGCATTGATGTTCATAATGACTATAATGGGTTATTTACAAAGGAGATTAAATTCAGTTCCACGTGCTCTGTCTTAGAAAGCAGTTTATAATTAATTTTAGAAAGATTGCTACTTAAGTAGTTAAACTTTTCTTCCAAAAGGGGTTGTTGTAACCGCAAATAGTTTGCTACGTAGCTCTATTAACACAAGGTTTTGTTGAATATTACTGAAAATCATTACTACTCACATTTCACCTTTTTAAAAAAACTATTTTCTTTTAAAAACTCTTTTAACTATTTCTATTTCTTACCTCAGGCAGTTAGCCGGTAGGGCCAGGAGAGAGGCACTGAGCCATGTTCCTGCCCATCTGAGCCATTTCCAAGCTTGGTGCATTGGTGGGCAGATTGCTGAGCTGGGGTCTGTTGCCTGGGAGTGGAGTAATGTTCAAGAGGAAGGATCACATTAAACCAGTCAGTTCTATGTTTAGCTTCAAATGAAAATTTAAAACATTTTCAAAGCTATGTTTGTATTCAACTACCATTTGTTTACATAAAAGAATCATTGCTAATGGGAAAGATCTTGACAATCAACGTCTTAAATTAGACCACTTCTGAACATGTTGCTGAAAGCCAGACCCTCCTTTACCACCTTTCTGGATTCTTCCCCATTGCTCAGGCTCTTGTCTTGACTAATTTAGGGTCATGGAACAAATGTACTGAGTACTGAGTACTCTATGAGAGAGACATGCAAGGAAATTGGGGGCAGACAGAGATGAAAAGCACATTTCCTTGCTCCTCAAAGAGTTTGGTGGGAAGAGAAGGATGTTTGCAGAGAACTCAAGTCAAGGTACAATGGTGAAGAGTATGATAAATGCTATAAGCAAAGTGCTATTGGAATAGTTGGAGAGAGATTCTTTTCAGTCAGGCAGTCCAGGACTTAGAGACCCAGGGAAACAGGTGTCAAGAAGTTGGTTTTGAGGTGCAGAAGAATATGGAGGGATGTTGTTGGGAAGAATATCTGGATAGGCAGGCTGGGATCAGATCACTGAGGCTCTTTAGTGCTGTGTTTGAGCTTCACAGGTGGGCAGTGTGAGGTATGAGGGAGGAGCAATTTATTGTTCCTGAATCATATTCAGTGTTACAGCCCAAAGCCAAAAAAACATTTGCTCCTTCCATGAGATTGAAGAAAGAGGGAGCCAGGAGCTAGAGGCTGTGCAGCAAAAAGCTCTCTATAGCCTCCCTCTAACAGTGAGAGATGCCTGTGGCTGAAGCCCCAGTGGTCTGGGTGATTCAGCATGGCCTGTGCTCAGCTGGTGTGGAAGCTTCTCTTTCACTACATTGTCCCCTCGTATACCACAGAACACACAGTCACCTTCATTCTTGAGCTCCAGTAGCACTGGCCACCTTGACCATTCTTTGGAATGTTTTGCTTAATGAACAAGCTGTTTCCAGCCCCTTAAGCTAAACTATAAATCCTGGAAGGCTAAGTGAAATACTATGTTTCTTTTGTTTATCCCTATACAGTGACAGATACATAGTAGGCTTGCAAAACAAAAGGCCTTATTAATTAGACCAGCCCACTTTCTTCCTTACAAGATGGATGAATGAAGAGTATTAAAATAGGAAACTACTTAATTTTTTAAAGACTCCTAAGAAAAAAGCTGTAAGTAGTCAAATAACACAGATGTTTTCCTTAAATTAGCATAATTGGTTACATGAGTATTTTTAGTTGCTAACAAGGTACAGAAATCTTCAGAATGCCAGTGGCGGCTTACACCCACTTCTTGGCCAATATTTTACCAGGCCCTGAGTCATAGCTCTGAAATCAATTCTGCCCTTTACTGCAAAATCATTACAGGACCAGGAAAAATGATCTTGCTGTTTAATCAGTGGGGGTGCTGGAAAATCAGAAGACACTGATATTGTGCTGTGTGATAGGGTCTGGATGAAGTATGCCAACCAGAAATGTGGAGAATGTAATCATATTCAATGCCACGCCTAGCTTCAAAATGAACTCAAGAGAAAGGATATACTGATGCACTCTATGTAGTTCACAGAATCACAACATTTTTGCCCATTCAATTTCTTGTGGAGTCTTTTAAATCTTTCTTTCCCAAATAAAAAGAACATTCTAAAGATGAAACATTTGTGAGATGAGAAACTGAACCTAGATATAAAGTGATGTCAGTCTATTGCCAATTATTTTGTGTTATTCTCCCATTTAAAAAAAATCTGAGTTAAGAAAATGATGTGGGAGAATAAAAAGAAAATATTTATTATGCTTTCAGCAAAAGTGCAGAACTGAAGAGATTCCAGTAGGAAGATGTCACTATTCTTCTCTCCATATCACACATGCCAAAGAATGTAAAACTGTGGCTCCCAGGGAGAAGGGAATTTATAAGCTGTGTGAGTGGAAATGAGTCTTTTCTTCATCTTTTCCTGAATGTCCTGAAAGTGGTATCTTTTAGAGGCCATAATCAAGGAGGTCACTTTCTTGCTCATTTGCATATCCTTAGAATTGGTCAGCAATTCTCAGGTCCAGTGTTTTGGAGCAGGGTGGAAGGGCCACATGATAGTAAGAACCCGCTTCTGGCCTCTTTGTTAGGGGACAGCTTGGGGTCTGGTAGAATCAGAGCCCCTGTGCCCATGGTAAGACCACGACTCCCTCATGCCCATGGGATTCCCATGCTGTTTTCATTGTGAATTACTGAGACCCATGCCTCCTTTACCACTACTTTCTAGATTGTTCTCCACTGCTCAGTCCACTGCCTTGACTAACTTAGGGTCACATAACCAATATTCATTTAGTACTCTGTGGGACACACATGCTAGGGACTGGGGGGAACAGAGATAAAGGAAGCGTTTTTTGGTTCCTCAATACATTTAAAGGGGAAGAAAAGGATGTTTGCAGAGAATTCAGTACAAGTACTTCTGTAATGCACCCTCTTACCATGTGTGTCCTCTCTTTCTGGCCAGCAGCCTCGTAAGGATCCAGGAGGGAACATTTGCCCAATAGGAATACTTTTCTAGAGGAGCTTGTCCATGAAGCACACAGAGGGAGAGATGCACAGGAGGGTGGCTAGGCAGCTTGTGTATTGTTCAGCTCCGTGGGCAGTGACTGCACATAATGGGCTCTCAGTAATAGCAGTTGCTAACAACAAACAACAACAACAACAACAACAACAACCACCATTTAATGAAAATTCACTATGTGCCCAGAGCTTTGCATACATTATACCAATAAATTGTTATCACAACTCTCTAAGGTAAATTCTATTGTCATTTTCCAGATGAGTCTTTGAGAACTGAGGCACCCAACAGAGCATCTGAAAAGTGTCCTTATCATCATGGACAAATCAAGGGCATGCTTTAGATAATAAAAAACCTTTTAAACAATGTTCTTTCATCCATTTATTCATTTAGCAAACCTTCATTGAGCACCTACACCTTTCTGCAAAGGAGACGAATGCATGAACCAACAATTTTATTTCGGTCCTCTACCAGGAAGGTTGACAAGATCTCTCTGCCTAATTAAGAAGTTACGAAAGCACAGTATTCTAAAATGTTTGGGATGCTCATTATGAGAGTATTCTCAAAAGCATCTGAAAATGGTTTAGACATAAGGACACGGTAAGGCCCTATTTTAACAAGACATGTTTTGGCTGTGGGATTTTTGAAGACGATTGCTCTTCTGTTGCTGTTCAGTTCTTCACGGCGTGTTTGGTTTAAAGAAAGAATTTGATGGAAACCCAGTAGTTCTATCTCAACACTTACTATTTAAATTTTCTTCTTGTCATTCTTCCAAATACTTTCTCTGAGCATATTTATTCCCGTAGATCCTTTACAGTCAGCATTTTAGAGACAGCTTCCTTTTTAATTTGGATCTTGGCACCTTAAAAATAGAGCTTGATCAAGGAAAATGCTACATTCCTTTCCTAATCTTCAACTGCCTAAGACTGCCCCCTTAATAACACTTCACATTTATCTTAGTGCTTAAGAGTTTTCAAAGGGCTTTCCTATACATTATTTTAATTAATCTTCTTAATTACTTGATGTGTTAGGCCAGAAAGTATTCTTTTTGCCGGGTTTATGGGTATTACAAAAGCAAAGCAAAGCAATACACGTGGAGGACAGAAAGAACTCCAACAATTCAAATGATTACAAAATTAAAAAAATTAAAACGAAAGTTTACTCTCTGCTGGTATCCACTGTTACTGTTACAGTCTCCTCTGTGGGTCCCGGGTTGTGACTTCCTTTCTCAACACGAACCATTTCAAAGCCTGTGATTCTGAGTACTGTTACAGATGTATCCCCTCTCATACATTTTTATTGTTGATTGATGGGATGTCTGGGAGGGGAGTGAGGTAAGTACATGTGTGTAGTCTGCCCTCCTGAATTAAAGCTCAGTCATTACCACTTTATAGTTCCTGAAACTTGGGAAAAGAAGGAGTGAATGCTTTGTCAAATGACTATTACACGGTGGAGCTGAAAACTAGAATTCTCGTTTCCTGTCACCTAGTCTAATGTTCTTTCCATTTCTCTAAATCTCTACCCTACCTCTTATCCTCCATTCGTATCAGTGGAATTCAATACAGCTGAGCAGGAATGTTTACAAGCAATTTTTGAGCACGTACCTCAGTAGAGCCAAATGTAAGGACAGACAGTACATTTATATTTGCTTTAAATGTTTTTTCCCAACTCGGTGTGCTCTCATTCTAATCTTGGGTTTTCACAGAAATGTCAGAGGTAAAAAGATTTTGGAAATTTTTAGTTTTAAAACCTTACATAAGTTGTTTTCAGTAAGAGCTTTAAAAAACATTAGTTGACCAAGTGGGGGAAGGTGAACGCACTTTTAAAAATTTCATTATGACCTGTGAACATCACATTCATTAGTGCCTAGTTTAGTTCTAGTTTCTGAAACCTAGTGATGTTTGGGATGAAGAAAAAAACATAAATTACTTTCATGTACTGTGGAGCCAAAACATATGCCTCCCATAACCTTATTCACATTCACCTATATTTTCCTTCTTCCTGCCAGTTTTTGTACCCATTAATAATTTTTTAAAAAGCTGAAACATGGAATCATGGCTGTTGTTATACACACAGGACCTATTAAACTAAGTGGATTAAAATTTCTCACCTTCATTTTCAGAAGGCCATTGTCAATATTACCAGAGAGAAAGAGGTATAAAGTAGGGATTCCCTTTTAATGAGAAAATCTGATGGAAGAGAATAGCAATTTACTCATTCAACATACAAGTATCTAGTAAGCATCTTCTACTATGTCCAGTTGGAAACTTGGGACAAAAACGTAGACAAAATGGTGAGTATCTAGCGGAGGAGGCAGGCATGAACCATATAATAGAAATATATAGTAAAGGGGCGCCTGGGTGGCTTAGTCGGTTAAGCGTCCGACTTTCGCTTAGGTCATGATCTTGCGGTTCGTGGGTTCGAGCCCCGCGTCGGGCTCTGTGCTGACTGCCAGCTCAGAGCCTGGAGCCTGTTTCAGTCTGTGACTCCCTCTCTCTCTGACCTTCCCCTGCTCACGCTCTCTCTCTCTCCTAGAAATAAAATAAAAATATTAAATTGTGAGATTGAGCCCTGTGTCAAGCTCCATCATGGAGCCTGCTTGGGCTTCTCTCTCTCTCTCTCTCTCTCTCTCTCTCTCTCTCTCTGCTCTTCCCCTGCTCGTGCATGCATTCTCTCTTTCTCAAGATAAATAAACTTAAAAAATTAAAAAAAAAAAAAAACAGTTGGGAGCCCAAGGTACCTGTAGAAGGAGGACACACCTGACACTTTACACTCTTTTGGGTAACTTACAAGAGTAAGGAAGAGACTTTCCAGAAGACATTATTAGATTTCTCTCAGTTTAACAGGAATTTCTTGGAAATGTATCCAAAAGACAAGTGCAAGTAGCTGGTTGCTTGTCTGTAAGCAATTTGGTGGCTATACGAGCTGAAGAATGTGTTTAGCCACACAAACACAAAATTTATTTGTATTTCCCTATATATTATAGAAGTGGAAATTAAAGAGCATGGTTCTGGGGCAACACCTTCCTACCACTCATTAAAGTGTGACTGCAGCTTCAAGTCTCCATGGAAAGGGCACACAAAAGGGGATTGGGAAGACTAGGGTTTAAACCCCTGTTCTGCACCTATTAGTATGACCCTGGGCATTACCTTACATCTCTGGGTCTCAGATTCATCATCTCAGTGCACAAAGTAATATGCTGATGACTCATGAATCTACCTTTCAGTTCCGATCTCTCTCCTGAGGCCCCTACCCTTATGTTCAACTGCTCTTGAACACTATGTAGGTCTTTTATGGACAACTCAAATTCATTTTGTCCAAAACTAAACTCATTTCCACCCCCACCTCCAGTAAAACAAAACATCACTCTTCCTGCAGTTTTCCCACACTGGTTAATAGGTGCCCCTCTCTGCAGTGCCATAAGCTGGAAACTTGGGCTGTAGCTTTTCTTCACCTTCTGCCTCCCCACATTTTTAGTTCCTCATCATGTCCTATGAGTGTTGCCTTCTAACTGTCTCTCCTCACTGTCACCATCTCCTGCCACTTGCCCTGTTATATCTTATACTGCAACCTCACTATGCTACTTTTCATGCTTGAGATGTGCCATGGACTTGTTTTCTACTTGGCCTTTGAAAGGGAGGGTCCATTTGCATCCTCTCATTTACTGTCTTCTGCTTAAATGCCATTTCCCCTGGAAGCCTTCCTCCCTCCCACCCTCCTCTGGACCAGGTTAGTTGCCTTTGCTCAGCAGATCCATAATGCCCCATACTTTCCCATGTGCAGGGGTACCTCCCACCCTGATCCACAGGGGACACCTGTCAAGGCCCAAAACCACAGATAGAACTGAACCCTATATACACTGTTTTTTTCCTATGCATACACACCTATGATAAAGTTTAATTTATAAATTAGGCATAGTAAGAAATTAACACCAATGACTAATAATAAAATAGAACAATTATAATAGTACACTGTAATAAAAGCTATGTAAATACCATCTCTCAAAATCTTATTGTACTTTACTCACTCTTCTTCTTGTGACGATGTGAGATGATAAAATACCTATGTAACAAGATGAAGTGAGGTGAATGATGTACACACTGTGATAAGTAAGGCTCCTATTGACCTTCTGACAGTATTTCAGTAGGATCTTCTGCTTCCTGACCAAGGTTGACTGCCTCTAACTGCAACTGTGGGGAACTGAAATCATGGAACAAAACTACAGATAAGGGAGGGCTACTGGATAGCATTTATTTCAGAGATTTGTTTGTTTATCTAACTCCTACATTCTTAGCTCCTTAAAACAGGAACTGTATTCACCATGCTTATTAGTATATCCCTGGTGCTCAATAGTGTGGAAAGAAGGAAAGAAGATAGACAAGAAATGAGCAAGGGAAGAATAATAAAAATATTATAAGAAAGATGCTTGATAAAAGGAATCCATCATTATTGTTATTCCTGGCACAAGTGGTACCAGAAGGAGCTTCTTGTAAATTAAGACAACTTACCTCCTGGAAAGGTGATCTGGGAGTGGAGCACTCCCTAAGTTCAGGATGAAGGGATCCTTCCTCACATTATTTGAAGATGAGGCTGTATGTGAGATAAGGGATCTCCCTACCCCCCACTGGCATATGAGGTAGCTGCCAAAAGCCATTGACTATGCTATTTGGGGAAGTTGCTTACTTTCTTTGGCTTGGTTTGGTCATGTATAATATGAGGGGATTAGATAGGACAATGTCTAGGGGCTCTTCCAACTCCAATATAGTTTGATTTTACCTTGTAATCTGCTCCTTTTCTTCCTTCAGACTTATGCGTCCCATTTCTATCTTTCTTCCCTTTGACCCCCACCCCAACACTCTAAGTTTATTCATTAGTGGGGAAAAATAAGGGTTGAAATGTCTGGGGAAACGTAGACAAGAGTGTATAGGTTATCTTTTCTATACTTTGGTCTTTATTCTACCAATTTATATTTTCATAGGTTTTATTTGATCTTCCAGATAGTCTAGAATATTTTTAGAATGGGTCCAGTTCAGGCCTAGTTTTAACTTGGAGGCATTAGTTTCAGCTATACCATCTATTGGGAATTCCATTGATTAATTTTTTTTTTTTTTTTTTTTTTTGCCAGAAAGATTGGTTCTGGTCAGCAACTTTAGCCAAATGTCCATATGCAGATGAACTATCAAAGGCACACAGGTCTTCAAATAAAATGTCAAAGACTTTAATGCATAATGAACAACTTTAATGAATTCCATTGGAATGAGGCTGCCTGATAGCTCAGGCTTCCCAAGATGCCATGTTAGTACGTTTCTATGAATTTATCTCTAGGTTCCTGAAGTGGCTGGTTTCTTCCCATTGTTAGTGTCTCAGCTCAAATGTTACATCAGCCCTGTTACTCTTCACTTTACCACATTGCTGTGTTTCATTATTATCTTAGCATTCATCGGTGCCTGAAATTACAGTGTTCATTTATTTGTTTATTCCATGTTTCTCCTTCACAAAAATATAAGCTTTATGGTAGATGGGACTCCATGTATCTTGTTCACTGCTTATACCCAGCAGTCAGGACAGTGTGTGCATAAAACAGATGCTTGAATAAATGCGGTGATGAATGAGTGAACCTTCAGAATGTGTAGGAGTTTACTCAGTGTATTCATCCGGTAGCCTCAATCAGCATTTGCATGTATTACTAAGGAAAATGAGTTGCTTAACAATCTTAAGGTTTTTAACATTGGAGTGGTTGGTCTCTTATGGGCTTT